TATCTCATGGCATATTTTTCTCCCACAACTGGATCACAGCTCACTAATCTCTACAACCCAAGTGCCTGGCCCAGAGCCCCTCCTGACTAACAAGTGAATTGTTAAAGGAAACTGATGAGGCAGGTAGGGGGACATCAGTCCCCACTCCACCGCTGGGCATCGAAACTTTCTCTGCAGCCCTCACTGAGACTCAAGGATTCTCGCAAAATGGAAATCAAATCCCACATACAGGAAACTTCTCAGTCTTTGTATCTGCAAACCATTTGAAGCAACATTTGACAAAATTATCAGTGAGGATCTGAAGTAGCCTGATCCCACTATTCCACTGGGATCCACCAGATGCCATGTTGGCTGCAGACTGAGTTACAGTGATTTTACATCACCATTTAAGATATATTTAAAAAAAAGACCTGCCCTACATTTAGTAGTGTGCATGAATTTAATTTGCAATGCCTGTTTTTACACCTTGAATACAACGCATTTTCTAAACGAGTTATACAGCCAAAATCAGATGAAATCTATGCCTAAGCCTAAGTACTAATTCTGTGCAAAACAAGTGCCTCTGGAAAGCACTCTATGATAAATTTAATTCCAGAACTAAATTCACAGAGGAAAGCTGACCATATTACTGATTTGCAAATCACTAGCCATTAAATCATTCATTTAGCTAAATAAATAATGATCAATTTTGTTCAGCTAGCCTCCATAAAACTTTTTCATCACCTTTATTAAAAAAATTCTGAAAAGTCTGATCATGTTGGGAAGTTTAATTTGTATTAAGACCTACTCCTGAACCAAAGTCAGGAGTCACATTTTTACAATGTTTAATTTGGGTCATTTAACCTATATCACTCTTCAATTCTGCTGAGTTTCTGACAAATATTAGATATTATAAAATAGCCAAAGATACCTGTTTTGGATATATTAGCATTATTAAGAGATACCACATGTGATAGTGTTTATGAAAATACTTCATAAATATATTATAAACCCAAATATAAATTAAAGGGATGATTATTGTTAAAATCACCTCTGTATATTTTTAAAAATTCCATTCTTAATATATATAGTAGGTGCTCTGAAATGTTTTTCCCATTCAATTCAACAATATTTGAATTTTTAAAAAATATTTTAATGGACTTGGATTCTTTCCTTTGGCAGAATATTAAAATCTGAATGTCAGAAAAGACAACTTGAAGAAACACAGGGGCAGAAAGAACTCTAGGATATAGGCAGAACCGCTAAAATCTCACCGATGCCACTAAGAACTGCACATATGCCCCTGGGAACTTGGGTTCAGAGTCACCAAGAGCACAGATCCTCAATACCTGTCCCAGGGGCTGTTATGCACACACTGTGCTGACTCTCATCATTGTGAAGAGACACTGATTTTGCACCTACCATATAGAAACCCTCGCAGCCCTGCTAAGTGTTAGAAATAGATACGCACTCAAGGTTTAACCCTCAACTTGAAGAGACCAGATGTAGACATAAAAGATACAGGTGGCCTTCTCCAGGCTAGAAAGCAAGTGTGTCAGAGTTTGAAGAATAGACATATGATGGCTTGGGAGAATCTAACATCTTAAGCGAAACTTCCAAAGGGTCTTAACCATGGTTTTACAAATGAATCGCCTGAGAAACTCTAAAAAATAATTTGCTGCATGGGCCCCACTTTAGAAATTCTGAAATAAATGGTCTACAGAGGATCCTAGGCTTCAGTATTTCTTAAAAATTCCCTAAGTGATTCTAATGTGTAACCACAATGGAGAGCTACAGCAGCAGGCCTTGAAAACAAGGGGAGATCATAATTGGATCAACCAAACTACAAGATGATAGCAAGGAAGTTAATGCAGGCCAGGGACCAGTCTAAGACAAGGGCACAAGAGGGGGCCCCATCCTCATCCCTGGAGAACAACGGTCCAGTGACAGAACACACAAGCTGTTATGACCATTTTATTGATAAGGAAACTGAAGTAAAGAAAATCTGAATAATATTCTTCTGCTTGAACCCTGTAGTTTTCAGTAGAGGGTTCATTTAACATGTTTAACTTAGCAGACAGGCCTTGCATTTCTTCCCAGCCTACTGCTGCCTCATTTCTTCACTGGTTGCCTATTCTTCTCTACAGGTATTAGAATAACTTACAAATCCCTGAAAAATCAGGATGTTGATCACCTTTGCTTCTGTGAATTCTATTCCCTCTTCCTAAAATATCCCCCTTCTCCCTCTCCCAATCCGCCTCCCTCTCAATTTCCCCCCCTTTTTTCATTTACATTACTCTTACTCATTCTTCAAAACCCAGGTCAAATATCACCTACTCCAGGAAGCCTCTTCACACCACCTTTTCACTCAGCTGTCACACATCTATAATCCCAGCGCCTCTCGGGTGTGCCTGTCATAGCCCTTATCACCCACAAATTTGTCTGTCTCCTCACCTCGATTGTAAACCCCTTGAAGATAGGGACAATGTCTTCTTCAACTTTATATTCCAAGTACTAGGACAGTACCTGGCACACAGGTAGCTCAAGGACCATTCCTTCAATGACTAATGTACACATAGTGAGAAAGGGAATGGGAGGGGGATCCCCTGGTTCCTCATCAAGTATGGTTCCTCTACTCCACACAGCTCCTCAAGAAAACCTCTCTATTTGCCTCATGTTTCAAGATCATTTTGATGCCTCATAGTTTAGTTAGCAACCACAGCAAAGACGGTCAAGTACTCTAAGGACCCTATGAAAAGAGGAGGCCTACTAACCCAGAAATCTATGCCTCACAAGGGCCTTATGCTTTCTCCAAAAACAGCTCTGGAAAACAGTAGAAGCCTTAATAAAGTGAGAAATCAGTTTGAGAGGGTCTACTCCAAGGAGGTACCCATCTTTCTGAGCTTTACCATGTGATTCCACGATTCTGCCTTTGTGTGAGGCATACCTTCTGCATCAGAAGTATTCAAATTCACTATATGTATCTTGCAAGCTAAATCATAAATAAAAATGTTATATGAATCAATATTTTCAAACTCCCTGGTTACTATTTCAGTCCATTATTATGCCAATCAACAGGTGATACTTCCACATCTAACCCAGTACTTTCTTAAGGTCTTAGAGTCTATCTGTACAAACCATCCCAATAATCAATCATAATTTGACCCACAAGTAAATAAAGACAATGTATTCAGAAGCAGGTTTGAGAAACAAATGGGTGCAACAGATGACACCTCTCATTCCTCTGTTTTACACCTTCAGAATTTTACCCTTTACCACTAGTAAGGAAATGTCATATGTGGTGAAATGAAAGGGGAACAAATAATAATTCCATTTTGAGGTGCTTTTATTCTTCATGATAATTTTTCTCTCCTATTCACAAACGCCATCTTGCAAAAATTATATCTTCAACATAGTGACAAATTTTGAACAAAATATTAAACTAAATAACACCATTGCCATGTTTTGTTGATTTGTTTAATGTTCTTATTACTTTTTTTGATTCAATGTTTGCAGAGACTGGTACAATGTGAAGAGTACTACCCACTTCAATGATCAGACAAAGCTGAATTTGAACTAAGTTCTACCAATTGTTGGCTATATAACCCAGAAAAAATTATTTCATGTCTCTGAGACATGGTTCTTTATCTGTGAAGTAGGACTGAGGATAAATATCAGGTGGTTTGTCACGAAGATTACTTAAGATGGTGTATTAATAGCATTTGATACAGGGCCTGTCTCACAGTAGACAAAGTGAATGCTGGCTACAAATAAACATCTATGGAACTAGAAAAAATAATTAAAGACGATTTTTTAAAAACAAAATAAAAGCAAGAAGTAATAAAGAATAATTAAAAGGGGCAACAGCAATACAACTACACTTTTCATATATATTCAGCATACTTTGTAAGACATACCAAGAATTTAATAATACCTTTTCAGAGAAAAAAAAGAAACATAAATGTACTCATCAACTGTGAGATATAGCCTGATTTCAGAAATGATAAGATGTAAAAAAACATGCATCTCAGAATTGAAGAAAAATTGTACACTTAGTAAAAACCTCTGTATTCAAGGGGCATGCATAGTGGATAGGGAAGTGGTATTTGCTTCTCCTCTTCCCAAATACATATAAATATTAATTGAAAGAAAGGATTATCTAAAAATACGTTATAGTATCAGGTTTCTGGAAAAATGGCAGTTCTATTCCCCATATACATTTTCCCAAACTTTATTCCACACAGCAATGTGCTTAGATAAAAGACAGCATTGTCCAGATTTACTGGCAGTTGGAGGTAGCCAGTAATATGTAAGTGGAAGTTGTAGACAGAACTACCAAGAAAACTTTTTTCCCTCCCCTTCCCCTCCTTTCCTCCTTACTGATGCCTGGAATATAGACAAGATAGCTGGAGCTCCAGCAGCCTTTAAATCATGAGGTATTTACTGAGGATGGCAGAGCAGAGAGAGAGGGAATTGAAAGAAAATAGTTAAGGAAATTACCCTGGAACCTTGAAAAGAAGTAAGGAAGCTAAAGAGAAAAAGAGGTACAAATGAAAAGCTGTCTTTGGTAAATTTGCATACATTTAATTCTTTTAAAAAAATTCTACATGGAAAGATAAGTGACCATGCAAAAAATTAAGATGAACTATACATCTGCATTCTATGAAATTAATACTTAGAGTTCTTAATTAACACATTAAAGCAAAAAAGAAAGAAATATTTATTGAGTACTTATACCATTCACTATAAGAATTACTTTACATAATTAGTAATGTAAAGATAGAAATTTTACCACATTTATCCTTTTAAATCTTCAATGTTATTAAGTACCCAGAGAACAGAAGGTACTTAATAAATGTTTTAAATAAATGAGTAAATAAATGATGGCTTCAAGTTAAGCTGTTCAAAATTACTGAAAAATCTATTATTGTTTTTCCTAACTTTCATTCATTCATATAGTTTTACTTACTGTTCTCCTAATAGGTTACACACTGTCAAGGAACTAGAACCTTCTTTCATACCTTCTGTTGTTGGAAATACTTCTTCTCCTTCAGTTTTAGTCTCTGCCAGTTTTCCAGTTCTCAGAAGTACTTCTGCAAAGCTTTCTACTGGGACAAGCTGACAGGTGTCATAGGTAACTTCAGACTAGACAAAAGAAGCAGTTACACCATTTGGTTGGGTATCTTTTTTTCCTATGAAGACATTCTTAGAAAACACAATTATGGGATTTTATATCTTCTAGTGACTTGAATTATAACTTCTCACTTACTAAAGCATATTATTTTATGTGAAATTTTAAATAGATTTTAATCTCATAATATGTTGTAATGTATATGAAACAAATCATATAAAACCAACAAACAACATGAGTAAGAACAAAGCCAAAGAAGTACATTTTCAGGAAAATTTTAGTTTTTGTTTATACTAAAATGCCCACAACAACATGACAGTTAAATCTCTGTTCTTAGGCACACTGTCCTTACCTCTGTGACAAAGGGATTGGAGATGACAGATTCATAAAAAGGATGACAGCCTTGTTTCTCTAGACCTTCATTGGCTATGGTTCCGATTCGATAAGCACCACCAAATTCTTGCCCCTAAACAGAACAAAGTGAAGAACAGTGGATAAAAAGAAAAAGAGCTGAAACAGGATGGAGGGAGGGAGGGAAGAAGAGAACTGATTTCAGGAAAAACTGATCAACGTGCATTTGTGTGATCTAATGAGAGAGTGTCAGAGTGACACAGATACCCAGCAAAGAATGTAAGAATAATAACTATATTCTAAGAGCAGCACTTCAACCTCACCCTGCAGTGCCTTTTGATTTTTCTGGTCACTTTGACATCAATGCAGCAGAAAAGCTGATGCAATCACTGTTACACACATGGCAAGTTTTCTATACTACAGTCAGAATACCCTTCCTAAAGCACCATTTTGTACATATTGCTCCCCTGCTCAAAAAACCTTTAGTACCTCTGAACAATCCATACAGTTGACAGTATCAAGTCTAAACTAAGTAGAATAACATTTAAAGTTATTAAATGTTAATTAACACTAAAGGCTAACTCCACCCCAACCAAATTGATCTACTTTATGCATCCTACTGGCCTCTACGCCTTTCTTCCACTATGAGGGTCCTGTCCAGCTGACTGTCGGGTTAGATCCCACCTCTCCTTCTAGGCCCACCTCAGACCACACCTGCTGTAATCTTACCAGATGGAGGCAAGATATAATTGTAACCCTTCCATTATCCCCACCTCCTCCACAACTATAACCCACACAAATGCCTTTAAGACTTGTCATCAGCAATTCTCATTAGCAATACTTCAGTATCCCTAGTATGGTTAATTATCTTTATGTTTTGCTTTCCTCGGATAGATTGTAAAGCTTCTTATTGGAAGGGCCAAGTAAAAGACATTCACTCGTGCCTCCAAAGTTTATTGAGCACTTACTTTAGGCCAGTCACAGCCTAGGGAAACAATGAAAATGCTGCTGCAAATGATGATAAAAGTTACCACTGATCCTTAATGAAAACTATATATTAGGTACAGTGTTAAACGCTTTATCTAAGACATATACCCTCAAAAAGCCCAACATGTGAGACAGAAAAGTAACCATAATCATAATCCAGTGTGATACATGCAATGATAAGAGATGTACAGACTTAGCCCGAAGTCAAGCACATAGCATCTCAGTCAATGGTATCTTCATTTACCTAGCTGTCTGGGCTATCATCCCTAGTTCTCCTCTTTCCTGCATATCCCGCATCCACACCATCAGCAGGTCCACAAAATACAACCCCAGACCGACCACTTCTCACTTCCTTCATGGCTACCCTAGCACAAACCACCACCATCTCTCACCTGGACTACTGGAATAGAGATCCGTTTTTCTGCTACACTACTGCCAGCTCTCTACACAGCAGTCAAATGATCTTATTAAAAGTAAAACTGGGGGCCAGCCCAGTGGCGTAGCAGTTAAGTGCGTGCGCTCCACTTCAGCGGCCCAGGGCTCGCAGGTTTGGATCCCAGGCGCATACCAACACACTGTTTGTCAAGCCATGCTATGGCGGCGTCCCATACAGAGTAGAGGAAGATGGGCATGGATGTTAGCCCAGGGCCAATCCTCCTCAGCAAAAAGAGGAGGCATCAGATGTTAGCTCAGGGCTGATCTTCCTCACAAAAAAAAACAAAAAAGTAAAACTGGATCACACACTGCACTGTCTAAACTCTCTAACAGCTTTCCATCCTACACAGAGTAAAATCTGTGGTCCTTATCATAGTCTATGTAAGGCTTTAACATGGTTGGCCTCTTCACCACCTCTCTGATTTAATCTCCTGCCATTCTTCCCATTGTTCACTCTGCTCATAGTACATTAGCCTCCTCTGTGTTCTACAAAGATGTCAAGCACATTCCCTCAAGAAGGGCTCTGCACTTATTCTACTGCGGTCAGTCAGGTTTCTGCTCAGTGATTCCTCTTTTGAGAAATCTAACTTCCCTATCTAAATCAGAACTTCACTCCCTCAATATCACTCAGGATTCTCTTGCCTTGCTTAAGTTATCTTCATAGGACTCATTACCACCGCCACTACATTATTACACAAATATTTTATCTGTTGGTTTCTTTGTCTCCCCTACTATAATAGAGATTCCACAAGGGAAGGGAATTAGATTGAAGTGTTTCCCCATTCTATTTCCAATGACTAGCACAATATTTGACACATAGAAAATGCCTGATAAGTATTTGCAGAATGAATGAATGAATGAATGAATGAGAGAAATACATAGTGACTGTTTGGGGTGAACTGATACACAAGCACGTTTCTCTTTCCTCTTAGTTTTCCAGTGTGAGACTAAAGGATGACAGAGTGAGACTGCAGAGACAGCAGGGGAACAATGGGTTAAAATGTCACAGAAAGCAAACTCAATTGCTCCACAGCTTGTCCTGACTTCTACCTGCAGAATGGACGAAAGAATCTGTTAAACTGTTCTCTTTACCCAGAACCCCTAGTAAAGACTGAATGTTTGTATCCCCATCAAAATTCACATGTTGAAATCCTCAGCCCCAGGGTGATGGTATTAAGAGGTGCGGCCTTTGGTAGGTGATTAGCCCACAGGGGTGAAGCCTTCAAGAATGGAATTAGCTTCCTCATAAAAGACTCTGGAGAGCTCCCCCGCCCATTCCGCCATGTGAAGACACAGCGAGAAGACGGCTGTCTATAAACCAGAAAGCAGACCCTCACCAGACTCTAAATCTGCCAGCTCTTTAATCCTGGACTTCCTAGCCTTCAAAACTGAGAGAAATAAGTGCCTGTTGCTTAAACCACCCAATCTATGGTATTTTTGTTATAGCTGCCCGAAAGAACTAAGACCCCAAGCTGGCTCCTAGCACTTTTCTTCGACTGCTGGCCTATAGAAATACAGCAAAGGAGAGTAAGCATTGATAAAATCATTTTTCTTTTCATCTCACTAAACTTTAATTCTGACACATAAGCCAAACCATGCCTAAATCTATATCTGAGTCTTTTGCAAGTATTCTATGGGAATATATTACATTCTATAAAACAAATTACTCATTCCCTATCTGATGGGAGGCCTAGATTTCTTAAGAGATTATTTTAATTATCTAGAGAAGATAAAGCTGTAACAACAGTGAGAACAACCAAAGAGCAGTGCTAATGAGTTGATACAAACCACAGAATTGACTTTAAAAAGAAAGCTGCATTGCTCACTTGAAGGGGTCGAAGGTAAGTTAAAGACTTCTTCCACCACTGCCCATCACTGACAGCCTGCAGCACAGCCTTGGTGGTGGTCGTGGGGTTGGAAAGCACTTTCATGGTGGTAGCTGTGGTCCAGTGGAATAGGTCAGCTGAGGTGCTGCCCGGAACGCTTACTTCATCCTATGTTAAAAAACAAAACGGCAAGAGCAGAAATGTGCATTTCATAAGAACAGAGAGTGACAATGTGACTACTTAAAATTATTCGACGTGAAGATAGATAGAGAAATCCATCTTTGCTAGTAACAAAAAAAATGTGAAACAAAGCACTATTGGCATATTGTACCTCCTTGAATCATTTACATAAGAAAATTTGGTAAAGGAAAAAACGTCACAGTACATCAGTCAAATAATCCCTTTCAGAAACATTTATAAGGCAAATAATGGGTTCTTTATTTTTTACCAATCAAATATCCTACCAATGAGATACTCATGTTTGTTTCTTCAACAAGACATTTTAAAGTATTTATTGAGATTAATTAAGAAATACATTATGCATTTGAACAATGCTACTGTCACCCAGACAGAGGTAGAGGATTCAGACGATCCACCTTTAAATGTTGAAAGGCATTTTCTTTCATCTAAACAAGTGGATGATTAATAATGTTTAAAAGGTTTATAATATGAAACCTCCTGCCAATTCTGAAGCAATCAGCTGAATTCTAACTCTCCATTTACTAACCTGAGAGATTCCACGTGGGGAAAAATGCCAATACATTAACATTCTTTTAAATAGAAATGACAGCGACCATATCTGCTTTTGATCAAAGAAAAATATTATTTGTTCTACAAAAATAAAGTTCTTGATTTAGTGTCTGCCTACTTCTACTTATTTTTTCTGAAGTATCCCAGTTAAATGAAAGAAAAATTAAGGCCTCATCTTTTCATTTCAATAGCTCTCTTGCCACTAATAGAAGGATACCTTAGTTTGGCTATTTCAGTCTACATCACATCATTCATTAATATGTTATTTAAGAAATAAAAAATGATAAATCACCACTTGGTAATTACCAGGACATCATCACATAACAAATACTTAAGATAAATGCACTGTTTTAGACCAACCTGACAGTTGCCATATACGTTAGGTAGAATTATGGCCCCCCAAAGATGTCCACATCCTAATCCCTGGAACCTGAAAATATGTTACATTACACGGCAAAGGGACTTTGCAGGTATGATTAAGGACACAGACCTTGAGATGAAGAGATTATCCTGAATTATCTGAGTGAGACTAACCTAATCACTTGAGCCTTTAAAGCAGAGAATCTTTCCCAGTTAGGGTCAGAGAGAGAGGGTCAGAGAGAGAGGGTCAGAGGATGCCATGGCAGAAGAGGCAGGAGAGATTTGAAGCATGGGGGGACTCAACCCATCACTGCTGGCTTTGACGATGGAGGAAGGTGACCACAAGCCAAAGAATGCGGGAAGCATCTAGAAGCTGAGAACAGCCCTCAGGTGACAGCCAGCAAGGCACTGGGGATTTCAGTCCTACAACCACAAGGAATTAAACTCTGTCAACAGCATGAATGAGCAGGGAAACAGATTCTCCTCTAGGGCCTCCAGAAAAGAACACAGCCCTGTCAGCACCTTGATTTTGGCCATGTGAGACTCTAAACAGAGACCCACCCAAGCCTGCCAGATTTCTATCCTATGGGGATTATAAGATAATCAATTTGCATTGCTTTTAAGCTGCTAAGTTTGCGGTAATATGTTAAAGCAGCAATAGAAAATGAATACATCATGTTAGGATGTTTGATAATTTCTAGAAAATCACTGTGAATTGTACTCTTACTTCTAAAGGGAAATGTATTTAAGCTATGTTAACCAATGCTTACAATTTACCCAGTTCGCTGTTGGTTAAGGATTGTCATGAAATTCTCTAAACTATGCTTTTAACATGAAAAAAAAAATTCACGTCCCAACACTAGAAGAAATGATAATTATGTGACACAAAAGAGGTGTTAGCTAACACTACAATGGCAAGCATACTGCAATATAAATGTATCAAATCAATGTGCTGAACACCTCAAACTTACACAACGTAATACATTAAATATATCTCCATTAAAAAAATTGTGTTTCCTATGGGCTTTCTGGACATTGAGAAAAGTATAAACCATCAACTCAATGCAATATTATATATTATAACTTAATTACAAAAACAACATAGAAAAAATAGACGATATGTTAATTTTAAAAAGTCACGTTAAATTGCTTGTATATTTATAAGGGTAACCACGCTAAAAATAATTGTTTGGGGTTTAGGTGCCAGTAAAAAACACCACCTCTCCTGGGTTTCAGATCGTGGCAGATACTGCAGCTTGGTTCACTAAACTCCATTCTGATCCCCTTACAGACTGTCTTACGGTTGCTAGAAATTGAAAAGCTAAGCTTTCCACACACGACCTAGTTTTCCTCAAATAGGTGCACCGGCTGCATGAAATTTGGGAGGTAGAACTATACTACAGACCATACTTCCATGATTTTCCACTGGCAGGCAGTATACTCAACTTTTTTTCACTCTTCTTTTTATAGTCCTAGTCGCTTTTCTGCAGTAGTGCTAACACAAGTCCCAGCGCTGAGACCCTAGTTTCACGGTTAAAGGACAGGGGTGGACTACCATTTGCTGGCCTGTATCTTGGCAGAGTCAGCGTAGCACTGGAGCCAACCGACAAGGAGTGGCCTGCTAATGTCCCAGCGGCTATGGCAGACTGCGGCTCCCTTAGCAGGCAAGTTCTGCGAAATTGTTCTAGTAGTTACTCTTAGAAATACAACTAAAGCCTGCCCCTCCAGGCCTTTCAGTGATTTCATAAGACCCCAATTCTCCATAAAAAATCCCCTCCTTATAATAGCTAGAATGTTTTCTGTTACCTACAACTGAACCTTGATTGATTTTTAAAAAACAATTAAAAATGTAAGCAGTGGGGCCAGCCCCATGGCCAAGTGGTTAAACTTCCGCACTCTCTACTTCTGGGGCCCAGGGTTCGCAGGTTCAGATCCCAGGTGCGGACGTACTCCACTCATCAGTCATGCTGTGGAGGCATCCCACACACAAAGTGGAGGAAGACTGGCACATATGCTAGCTCAGGGTGAATCTTCCTCACCAAAAAAATTTAAAAATGTAAGCAGGAATCAGAAAAATTAGCATTATCATCTTTATTCTGGAGTGGAGAACATGGTTTAAATCTACAGTCATAGTTAGGCTAAAATCTTTCTGCTGGTCTGTATCTTAGAGTAACGTTTCCAAGGAGAAGATGAATCTACAGAGCAGACACATCTAACCAAAATCACCATATCAGCCCAGTAGTGGGAAACCAAGTGGAACAAACTTCCAGAACGGCCTCGTACCTGTGCTATCCAACACAGTAGCCATTGGTCATGTGGGGCAATTGCACACTTGAAATGTGGCTATCCCACACTGAGATATGCTGTAAATGTAAAACACACTGGATTTTAAAGACTTAGTACCAAAATAAATAAATAAGTAAAATAGCCCACATGTTGCTTAACATCAAGGAACAAGGCTAGAGCAGAATGCACCCTTTCTATTGGTAGGCATAACCAACAGGCAAGCTAGGGGTGCTAAGCCTTACATTCTCAGTTCTTCGTCTCACTTTCAGCAATCAGGAAAGTTATGCACCCTCTCCTCTGTGTGTGCTGGGGTACAGCCGTAGGGAGACAGAATGAAAGACGGAAGCTCACTACCCAACACTTCTGAAAAGACAAGGTAGAAAGACCTACACAGAAAAAAACATAATTCTCCCTTCAAGAGAAATAATAATGATAGCTACCAAGTCTCGAATGCTTGCTGTGTTCCAGGACATTACAAAGTATATACCGGGCATAAAAACTGGAAGGGAACACAAAAAACAAAAACAGTTGTTTTAATGATAGCATTACCAGAATTCTTTTCTTTCCTTAATTTCCTTACTATTTGAGGCAGCAGAGGCTCACTTTTTCTCTACTTTGGTAACACAGACAGTTGGCTCATCATGTCTAACTCAACAGAAGAAAAGAAGCTGATTCCAAATCCTGCACTCCAGAGGCCCCTCTTTTCTAATAAGGCCACAACCCAGCCAAGGAGCTTCTGATGTTACACAGTGGTAACTCCAACTCCCGTCCTGCATTACAGGGGGAGGGCCTCTTTCCACTGGACAGCTTGTCATTGTGTTCAGCCTGAGCACACCTCTCTGGGCTACTGAAAGCTTTGGAGATCACATACACTCTGCTTCATTCTGCCTCTAAATTTTTTCCCCCAATAACTCTGCACTGAGTGGAATTAATACTACGTGTCCCTCTCTGAATACTGCTGCCAAAAATAGTTCTTTGCCTGAAATAAATCTCAGACGGAATGTGCAGGAATATATATGTATATGTGTATTCAGAGAGAAAGATACAGACATACATGTATACATGTACATATATATGTAAAATACATAGCAAGCAACTTAATTTATTGGTTGTATTTTTGACTTAGAAAGTCACAACTGGATAGAAATAGAAACCAATTAGAATTCATTCATCTACTCAGCAAATACTCACTGAGTTATTCTTATTCGATGTCATGCACTATACTAGGCAATGAGGTGATAAAAACAAGAAAAGACACAGTGTCTGCCCTCAAGGAGCTCAAAACCTAGGGGGGGGAGGAAGAAATACAAACAAATCATTGCAGAATAATTGAACGTCCAAAATAGAGGTACATATAAAGTACTACAGGAACATGAAGAGAGGTAGTGCCTCCTCTGCCTGGAGGCACAATCACAGAAGGTTTCACAAAGAAGGTAGTATTTCAGCAGGAAAGAATTTAGGGCTTCTCAAGAAGAAATGGTGAAGACGATTTCAGGCAGACTTACGTAAAAATAAGAGGCATGAAACAACATGGCAAACTGGAGGAACCTTAAGTGATTCAATGAAGGTGTGAAGAGAGTACACAAAGCTGAAGGGCAGGATACGAGGATGGAAGGCAGGCAGAGGGAATTGGAGCAAGAGACCTACAGACCACACCAAAGCACCACCACTATCACTCTGATGGAAGGGACGCCACCGTAAGGCTTTAAACAAAGGGAGTCACATAACCAGATCTGTGTTTTAGAAACAGTATTCCAGGTGCAGGAATCCAGTGAAATAATGAGGGATTGAATTAAGACAGTCATGCGGGGAATACATGAGGTTAACATAAAGTATTTTTCCACCTGAAGGCATATATTAACTGTTTTTATTTCTAATTCTTCTACAGGTGAAAAGGGCCTGAGATAAATCAGATAAGCAGAGAAATTCAAGGATTGTGAACCCAACCATCGAAGAAAGTGCTTGGTCACCAACTGGGTCTTAGTGAAGAGCTGAGAGGGAAAAAAAAAGAAGGAAAGTCAGGAACACAGACAAACTGTAATGTTCTGTTAAGCAAAGTTAGATGCAGTGGAGATAAAAATGAGCAATGCAAGTTGCTGAGGAAGAATGAACAGAGGACCAGGTTCACAGAGAGAAGTAAGAAAGATCTAGACACGTCATTTACCAACATTAACATCTAGGATCCTTGTTTACAATACATAAGAATCATAATGGCTACCATTTACTAAATGCCCACTGTCAGGTACTGAGCTAGGTGCTTCCTATGGTCATTTATAAGCTTTACAATAACATTGCAGAGTAGGTATCAGAATACTATTTGACACAAAAGCAAACTGCAGATCAAGTATGTTGAATATGCGGCCCACAGGCAACTGGCCTGGTGGTGTCTCCTCTCTTCTTAACCAGGTCTGGCTAATAAAATGCGCGGGCCACTTGTTCTTTGCAGGGTTTTGACACACCAGCAATATTACATACATACATACACATACACACATATACACAAAAACACATATTTATGTTTGTATTTATTTATTTATTCTTCTGCATTATAAAACTACCACAATCTCACTAAAGACAGTTTGAAAAATTCAAAAGGGTAGGGAAAAAAAGGATAGTATCTCTTCACAGTTCCATGATGCAAAGACAATACTGCCCGCATATATTCTCCCCTCTTGTCTTTAATCCAGGCTTAGGGATCTTTCTTTATAAAAATTTTTATTGATGTATAAAATATATTTAAAAATGTGTACATATAAGTGTACAGTTTGATACATTTTAACACACCCCGGTAACCAGCAGTAAGACTAAGAAACATATCACCACCAGAATCCAAGATACCTGTCTTGTGCTCACTTCCAGCCACCACCACTGCCAAGATAAATACTATCCTGACTTCTAAAAGAATAAATTAATTTTGCCTATTTTAATATTTCATATAAATGGAATTATGTTCTCTTTTGTGTCTGATTTTTTTCTTTCAACATAAATTCATTCATATTCTTGCAAGTAGTTACTGTCTTCTCATTGTTAGTGTAATGCTATTACACTGCTAATGTAAAAGTACTACATTGTGTGAATATATCAGAACTTAGTATCCTTTTCTTCTATTGATGAGCATTAGGGTACTCTTTAATTTGGAGTTAATACCAATAGCACTGCTCTGAACATGCTAGTAATTATCTTTTGGTGAACATACGCATTTCTGGATATATACCTAGTAGTGGAATTACTAAGACATAGAATATGCATATGCCCAGACCTAGTAAATAGTGGCAAACATTTTCTAAAATGGTTATACCAATTTATACTCTAAGCAGCAATTACAAGAGTTCTGATTGCTCCACAACCATGCCAATACATGGTATTACATTTCTTTTTCCTTTTAGCAGTACTAGTGAGTATGTCATGGTATCTCTTTCTCATTTTAACTTGCATCTCTGCAGTGACTAATGAAGTTGAACACCTTTTTGTGTATTTGTTGGCCATTTGAGTATTTGAGTTCTGTGAAGTATCTGTTCAAGTCTTTTGCCCATTCTTCTGTCAGTTGTCTGTCTTCTTTACTCATTTGTAGGAGTTCTTTATACATTCTGGATACACATTCCTTATTAGATATACAGATTGTGAATATTTTCTATTACTCTGCAGATTATGTTTTCATTGTCTTAATTGTGTCTTTTGATTAACAGAAGTTCTGATTTTTAAATTAGTCCAATATATCAGTTTTTTCACTTTATGATTAGTATCTTATGTACTATATTTAGGAAGTCTTTGCCTATTCCAAGGTCATAAGGATGTTCCATATTTTCCTTGACACGTAATATTTTTGTTTTAGGTAAAATCCTGTTAAGACAGTAAACTACCCCTCTTCTATGCACTCAAAGCATAATATGCATACTTTTAATGCACTTACCAGAATATATTGATATTATGATTTTTTTTTGTTTGTCTCTTTGTCTTCCCAACTAGACAGTAGCTTTTCAAGGGCAAGGACTATATTTATTTATTAGTATATCCTCAGAGTATGGGAAAATCCCCAATCTATAGATATGTGTAAGAAGTCTGGTTTTACTGCACTATTTACATTTTGAAGATACATTTTCTAAAAACTAATATGTTCTGCCTACAGTAGTTAAATGTTATTCAAATAAGATTTCATGTCACATTTTCCATTCCTCTTCATCTTTAGAAGCTTCTTAATTGAGAGGGCGTATTGAATGATTTGAATGTCATCAACTAATCCAAGTATAGAACTAAAAATATAAACATGGTAAGAAATACGGCACTTTAACAGAATGCAACTTCAGTCAGAGGAAAATCAAACCAACTGAAAGATACCAAAAAATGCAGGCTATAAAACAATTATTTCATTTCATAAAGTGAAATAAGAGCCTTTATTTCTGTTCATATGGATGGGCTAATTCAACACAGGAAATTTAAAACATATGAAACTTAAAAGTTTGTTTCAGAAGATAAATGAAATTCACAAGCTCAGAAATATACATGATAAAAGGATTTTCTGTAAGACAACCCCCTAATGAGAATTACAAAAGAGAAAGTAAAATAAAAGGCTCATTTGGACCACAGAAGCAGCATTTAATTTGGGGGCAGTCTACCAAGATTATAGTGTAACCAGAGTCATTACTCCAACTCCATGTAATGGGGAAAGAAAAAAGAGGTTAGGCAAAATTTACTCCTGAAATGATTACTACTAGCACTTTTTATATTCATAGATGCACACTGTTAATTAATTTAGAGTGCATAACAGCAGAAATAGATTAATCCCCCAAACCAAATCAACAACTCCCAGAATAAAATTTAACATGAAATCTCATTAATGTCAAGTGTGTTACATAGCTCAAAGGTTAACTTACTAAGCACTAATATTTTTCAAATCCTACAAGAGACACCATTACCAAACAGGGCCACAAGAACACAGATAGTTCCACATGTCAAGCTTGGCTTACAGAAATGATTCTTGTTGATGAATTACTGTAATGAATAATCTATTTAGGAGTTGCTTTCTATAGTGTCTGGTAATATAAAGCTTAATTTCTGAGAAATCTGTTTGCCTACTACGAACTGAGCTGGTGGTACACATAAACTAGGTAAGGATTACAGAGCTCAAACTGAACTCAACCACTACCCCTTCTCCTTCAACAAATCTTTAAATAATCCAAAGTACTTCCTGCACCTAACACTTATACGTCTTACAGATAAATTTCATCCTGAACTCAAAATATTAAGAATGCAATCTTTATTACCAGTGATGCCATGTTTAGAAGTATCTGTCACAAGAAGAGTAGAAAAATATCCCAGGGAATAAAGCATTCTATAGTCTGACTCTGGGGGCCAGCCCCAGTGGCCTTGTGGTTAAGTTTGGCGCACTCCACTTTGGTGGCCCAGGTTCGGTTCCCGGGCGCAGACCTACACCACTTGTCGGTGGCCATGCTGTGGTGGTGACCCACATACAAAATAGAGGAAGACGGGCACAGATGTTAGCTCAGGGCAAATCTTCCTCAGCAGAAAAAGAAAAAAGAAATAAAGTCTGACTCTGCTTCAATTCATCTGCTTATTAACAGGCCAGGCTACAATTTAGATGCTCTCACCTTTGTGAGTCATGCAGCT